AAGTCACTACAGTCACCTGAATTCCCTACAAGGTAATGAGTAAGAAAGGTTTACAGATTTTATATACCTTGATTCTCCCCTTAAACAATATTGGAATGGGGGGAAAACACTACTTTAACGCTGGTACAGCTAAGGATACCTTAAGGCTATCTCATGCATGGGGACACGGCAGAGAAGAATGTGGTCAGGATGTGTTTGTAACACAATTAAGTCCAAATAGGAAAAGCCACTATGGGACTTGTAATCCAACACATCTGGAAGATGCCAAGTTGGTAACGGTTGTTCTATTAAGTATGCTTAGGAATTTAGAGTCTTTCAACTGAACTTCCTTCCACAGTCAAGATTTATTTTTTGGTTAGTGATGAAGGAATTATGAAATTGCCCTACATTTTAGTGAAAATCTTCCAAGAAAAAGATTTAAGGTAATATTTCAAATAAAAATTAATCTGTGAATATCAGTTAAGGGATGAACAAGAAAGATACCTGGATGCTGCCCTTTGCCATCATTTTATTTTTAATCAGAAATTTTAGACAGAGAGAGAATAGACAGGTTTGTCTTTGATATAGGATATGAAAGACTTCAGTGATGTTGGATACATCAAGTGGAGGATTGTCTCAACAGTAGAAGACTCATCTTGCTAACCTGTACATGTGTAGATAAACCACTGACGTAAACTCCTTACCTCTATTTCGAGGCAGTAGCTGAAGAACAAATAAATGTCCTGTCTGTTGCAGGCAAAGAATAAGAATTGGTACAATGATTTCCACAGAAAAGGGCATTACATAGTATGGAGTCATTAGATTTTGTGTTGTATGTTCTCTTTCTGATTGTTACTCACTTTCTTTGTCTCTTCCCTTTCACTGCCACTTCACAACAGGAGCAGCTCACGGTAAAGTCTTTCTGTCTGTCTGCCTCTCTTTCTCAAACACTCTCTGGTTTACATTCTATTTATTTATGTGATCCTGGTTATGCATCACTGTGTGTGACTAATAGGAATGGAAAACAAACTGGAGCTCTTTCTATCTCTCTCCAAACATCAGACATTTCATTGATTCTGTTCCATCTCACAGTAAGTTAGGATTAGTGTGCCTTCCTGTCAGTTTACACTTTCTAGGAATCAGTTTCTTTGTATATCCTTGAACTAGGTATGGTACTGTGTGTGTTTGCCATGTTGGGCCACTGAAAGCAGCATTCCAGTTAACCTGAGGACAAACATGATGGCTGGAACATTGTTGATTCTGGTCAAAAAGTCCTGGCTGGTAGGAATTGTGGCAGAGATAGCCCTTTGTTCTGCTATCAAACATTTTATTCTCTGTTCTGAAGACTGTTTTTTCTACAAGCACTAAATATGTATGCTGGAAAAGAACAATGTAGAAAGAAGGCATGCTGTGAGGCTGCTAAAAGAAACAGCCTGGAATATGTCATGATATCTGCATCTTTATTCTTACAGTATGGTTCATTAGTTAGAACTGGTATAAAATTCATTACAATGTCACTATCTAGAACCAGTTGTTTGTCTCTCTCCTATAGAAGGATTACAAACACAAGTTCTTTAAAAGGCTGCCATGGCAGCACTGATGCTGAGAGTGAATATGTGTTTAATCAAACATTTGAAAACCATCTGTCCATCAGTGATTTCCTGAAAATAGATTTTCCGAGAACCAGCTACTTTGTATTATCAGGCTGCTCTTTGGTGTTGGCAGAAATGTAAAATCTTCATTATTGTCATCTTCATCACTGTTCAGCAATGTAAGTTAGATAATCGAGTCAGGGAAACAGTTATATACATAACTGCTCTCTGTATGGTTATGTTGCTTGGACATTTTCTTAATCTACATCTATAATGTAGTTATTTTCATTTCTCAAGTCAGTCCAGTACTAGCAAAAATGGCTTGCAGGCTTTAAATGTATCTTTATTCTGTTGAGGTTTTAAGCGCTGCTTCATTACATATAGCAAATACTCCTTTCTTTAGTGATAGCTCTTCATTTCCAATCTCTTGAACACTTGCCAACCTGTTGGATAATGAAAGGAATGACAGTGACCTTCAAATAAAAGTCCTACATCTTTAAGCATCAGTGTTTAGATGGCTTTGAAATATTGTGATATCTAGCAAAGCAATTATGCTTGCAGGGGAATTAGAGCTCGGGGAGCCTGTTAAAATTTAGAAACATTTGAAGAAGTTCCAGTTCTTCTGTGAACACATTCTGTGTCAGCCCTGTTTACAGGGAAGTACAAAAAGTAACTTGGCCATCCAAAGCAGCTGAAGTATAATTTGTTGAAAGATGAAGTCTAAAGTGGCATGTGAGGGAGGAAGCAACTCATTAGCCTAAGCCTCCTCAGGGCTTGTGTTTAAAATGAATGGAAATGAGCGCAATATCCCCATTAAACTATTCTTGGTTTACACCTTTTTTATGTGTTTTTAGATGGTAATGAGTAATTGGTAAATTTATTTTGTCACTCTTTGGCCAATTTCTGCCAGCTTTTCAGAAGCTTTGGAAGATGTATTTAGTTTGTTGGGCTGACAGGCCATTAAAGAAAGGGAGAGTAGTTTCTCCAACCTTGGAGTAAAATTGACTGTTGGATGGAATCAAGGCAATTTGATTGGATCCATATAATTTATGCTTTTTGTCTTTCATCCCCTGGGTCCATATATTTTATGTGTGAAACTCTTATCTCAACGTGTGCTCAGATGGGCTTGCTGAAATTTCCTCATATAGTTCAGCGCTGGAGAGAAGGCTCTGCAAGGGCCCACTTGCACAACATAACCAACCCCGTGATGCCCTCCCCCAGTCAAATTCGCTCATCATGTGCCAACAGAACATCACCTGGGATGACTAGTTTGGTTCACCAATGGCCATGGTTTCAATTGTCCCAGGTGCTGCAAAGGAAATTGGGAGACTGTCATTTCCCTCCACATTTCTTGTCTCCTCCAGCTCAAGAGAGGAAATTCAAAATTTATGGTGGCATGATTGGGGTTAGCGCAAGGTAAGGGGGGTGGTACCCACAGTCCACCCTTTTTGGCCTGCGTTTAGCTCTCCTATGTGACTGTGAGAAGATGCAAATTGAAGCAGCCCAGAGTCAGAATGCCTAGAGAGGGCCTGTTTTCATAAGCTGTAGTACTTCAGTCGCAAACATCAGGAGGGACAGTTAACCCTTAGGAAAGCAGTTCATATAACATGAGTGTATTATTGACTGGGAAGTTTATTTAGGTTTGTTTGGGACTAAAACTAGCAACCACAAGGATAATTGGAGAGTCAGTAAGTTTTCACCATGTGCTTATCACCAGCACACCCCCTCCAGTGACCTAAATATGTTTCCTAAATGGGCCTTAAAGTATCACTGTATACAGAGCAAATAGATGTTTAAAAAAAACCCTCTCAATTCTCCCTAGTGCAAAATCTTTTCTGGGCATGCAGCAAACTAGGTTAGATATATATTAGTTTTCACATGCAAGCAAATTTTGACCCAGAAAACAATAACATCTGCCATATTTCTCCTCTCTGCGCATTTTGAAGTGATACAGGGCAAAAAAATCAAGCCATGTGAGTTGTAACTTTAAGCAGATAGCCAAAATATGCAGTGCCTTATAGATGAATTAGTTTTGTAATGCATAAAGAATACAATTGTTCCAGAGAGATACTTTATACTACAAATGGTTTTTCTCTTTATAACAGATCTGGAAATAAGATTCATGTTGTTGTTTTGGCAGTAACTGTATGTAAGTTATCTGCAAAACTGGGCTCCCAAATCCCTAGAATATGTCCCTATAAAGGACAGAATATTCCTTTACAGTTAGGTGTAGGTTTCTCTGCAGAAATATTACCAAATATTTTCAAGCATTGCTTGAAGAGTGCAACTTCTTCCTTTTCTTTATGCTTGTTCTGTCACAAAATCCAGAGTAAAATGAAAAAGGAATCTTTTTTGTTTTGATGTGACAATACACTTAGATGCACAGCCGACTGAAAATAAGAGTTTCTTAAATGTGGCATAAAAAAACTTAAGTGAGGCTGTGATCTAAGTTGTGTGTATTTATGTGTATATTTCAAAGCTTGGTGGGACTGCAAAGTGAACCTATCAACACAGGAGGTAATGCAGTGCAGCATAGAAAGACAGACTGCATATTGTCACAGTTGCAGAATTAGTGAATCTTGGCAAGACTTGGGAGTTTGGTAGAAATGGAATTCTTTGTCTGCTTATCAGCTAGTATTAATGAATATCCAAGGTAGAAACACATTACTCTTTACATCCCAGTGCAATTACATCCAGTAGGACATCGGATCTAATGCAGCAAGCACCTGATTGACTTACTCTGGGTTCAGCTCTGGTTTGTATTTGAATGGGAGACTATCAAGGAATTCTATGCTAGGCTGAGAAATCAGGAAGAAACATATTGGAAGAATGGAAGAAGGCAGTGGCAAACCTCTTCCCAGCTGTTGTCAAGGAAACTGCACAGATGTGTCTATGAAGTCATGAGGAGCTGGAGACTTTTTATAGCAAACATTTTCTGTGAGAACTCAGTTACACAAAACTTTTTTTTTTCTAATATGAAGGATATATTCCATGGAAGTTTATGTGCTATCGCTCTAACTCCAACAAGGATACTAAATCCTTAGACATCTGCAGGTTAAAGCCGTTCTTAAAGGGGTTTAAGAAAACAGGTTAATGGAGAGATATTGAAAGAGCACCCTAATGGATAAAGAGATAGATGAAATCAAAAACATACTGGAATAATGGAGGGAATGAATTGATGTCTGAAACAGACATGTGGTATAACTGGTAAATCAAAACAGTTTATAGGGCAATATTTTATTTAAGAAAGGATCAACAAAAGGTGTTTGGATGGCCAAAAAGGATAGTATTCATAGAATATCACTGGCATCCTGGTTACAAAATAGATTGTATCTGTGTGTTTGGAAATTCTCTGTCTGGATCACTATAAAGACACAGCTTCATTGTTTTTTTCCTGCTTTTCTGCCCCCATCCAACATCTCTCTACAGAGGCAGTAAAGGGAAAGACATCAATACCATTAAATCCTTGCGTGTCCTTCGTGTCCTCAGACCCCTCAAAACTATCAAGCGGTTGCCAAAGCTCAAGGTATGTTTGGGATGGAAGTATAAAAAGGAAACAAACAAAAAACTCACCCTGGAAACTTTGGTTCTATATTGGGAATGTATATAATCCACAGTAATTTGAAAAAAAGATAGAGCAAGAAGGCTGAAGTCAGTCTTCATGCTATTTCATGAAAAGGCATGAACTAGGGTTTTTTTATTGGCTCTCTTGCACATATTTCATGCACAATGTCATCTAAAGAAAAGATATTATAATTACACTTATTTTTCCTTGAAGGACTTTTGTGTTTTGGATAATTGGAAACTAGACAATTCCCCCAATCTCCACAACAGGATAAACTTATTCATTTTTGTTTATCATGCAGCTAAAGAGTCATCAAAGAGTATTGCAGCATTTTAAGGACTAGAGCGTTTATTATAGTATACGTTTTTGTCCATTAAATTTTCTACCCTGTGCACATAAATGTCTGCAGGAAGGACAAAGGGGGCAAATGACAAAATATACAGGTAGTCCTCAACTTACAACCATTCATTTTATGACCGTTCAAAGTTACAATGGTACTGAAAAAAGTTACTTACAACCGGTCCTTGCACTTACGGCCATCGCAGCATCCCCGCAGTCACATGATCAAAATTTGGGTGCTTGGCAACCAGCATGTATTTATGATGGTTGCAGCATCCCGGGGTCATGTGATCACTATTTGTGACCTTCCCAGCTAGCTTCCAACAAGCAAAATCAATGGGAGAAGCTAGATTCGCTTAACACCTGCGGGAAAAAAGGTCATAAAATTGGGTGCAGTCACATGATGCCTCACTTAATGACTGCACCACTTAACGATGAATTTTCCAGTCCTTATTGTGGTCGTAAGTCAAGGACTACCTGTAGTTCACAACACAAATCATGTAAATTATGTACTTTCATCTGACATTGCAATGCAAGTAGAAAAGGCTGGGATTTGCGTCATGATATGACACAAGTATTATATTTTGTCATCATAGTTTGTACTGGATGCCTGTGCATGAAGAATGGATGAAAATCTGCTGACTTTAATGCTTCATGCACCTAATGGTCTCTAGTTTATGAAATGCTGATTTATGAATGGCCATTGTATTAATTTTAAATTTTTGTAACTGTAATTTAATTGCTATGGTTAGTATATTCTTGTTTTCATTTCTCCCTGATTCCACATTTTTTAAAAAAATAAATATTTCCTCCACACCCATAGATGTATTTACCTGCCCACTGAAGTTAACTTTTTTTAAAGGTTATTATCATGCCACAAGACTGTTGTTTTTGCTACAACAGATTCAGTGACTAGTATACTGGAAATAGCTGAGAAGTAGATTTCCTGTTTGGAAGGACAAATTATTACTCTATTCTAAGAACTCTAAATCTCATGCAGGACTGGAAGATATTTGGGGTGGCAGTGATGATTTTTTAGAAAACAAGTTGTCCTCCTTAGGACAAATTTACTTGAGGAACAGTCTATTTCAACATTAATTTTCTAGGTTCTTGCAAGAGGTATCAGAAACTGTGCACTGTCCTTTTTGTTAAGTGAGCTTAAATGGGCAAATTCAAGAGACAGAAACTTTGGTGGCGACAGCAGGATTGCAAAATACATTCTGGAAATCAGTTGGACTCTTTCACTGTGTTTGTATGGCTTTTGAATACATTTTAAATTTTTAATAAGGTTTTAATTTCTATATTAATGAACTTTACAGTTGCCTATTTTAAAGCTGTTTTTCATTTACTTTTAAGGGCTGGTATTTTAGAGTTTCTTGTTGCTTTAGTTTTATTTTATTGTACCTATGATGGTATTTCTCTCTCACATACACATACTTCTTAAGGGGGAGGGACAGTTTTACAGAAAATTAGAATACAGATAAACATAACCTAGTCAAATCTTACCAGAGTATCTGTTTTTCCCAGGCTGTCTTTGACTGTGTGGTGAACTCACTCAAAAATGTCCTCAATATTCTCATTGTATACATGCTCTTCATGTTCATCTTTGCTGTGGTCGCTGTCCAGCTGTTTAAGGGCAGGTTCTTCTACTGCACTGATGAATCCAAGGAATTTGAAAAGGACTGCAGGTATGTGGCCTCCTCCCATTCAGTTTTTAATTTAATTCTTTTCTCTTATATGGCCAACCTTGAAGCTTATAAGAAACTATATGACTCTTCCATAAAGTTATAGGCTCAAAGCTTATATTCCTTGTGTCACATTGCCATTACATTCAGGGCAGGCCAATGACTTCCAATGCATTATTTTCTGATATTTATTTATTCATTCAATTTATATAGCTGCTCATCTTGCAGATGTAACTCTGGCTGGCTAACAACTCATTAAAACAAAACAAAGAACAATATCAACAATATCAAACAAAAAACCTATGATGGTTGCTGAGAACAAAGCCAATAAACAACAGAGCAATAATGTCTCAAAGGCCATCTAACTTCCCAACCACCATGCTCTGGAGCGCATCCAGGTTTTCAGTGCTCTGTGAAAGGCCAACAGGGACAGGGCCAATCTAATCTCAGGAGGTATGGTGTTCCAGAAGGTAGACACTGCAACAGAAAAGGAAGGCCCACTTCAAGGGTTTCATTGGATGGTATTAGTTAATTGAGGGGATCTGGAGTGTGCCCCTCCTATCAGACCTGGTGCAACAGGTAGAAGCAACCAGAGAAAGACAGTCCTACAAATAACCCAGCCTCATTCCATAAACGGCTTTATAAGTGGCTACCAACATCTTGAAATATTAGACTAAAATATGACCTGATTAGTTTTTTTTCTCCATTAATAGTACAGATTTTATAGCTTGCCTGCATCAAAATACATTGCATCAGTTTTCTATGTCCACAAAACAACAAGACACTTTAAAAAATCTTTTATTCTTACATTTCTCTCTATTATGCTATCCATTTTAAATTGGTGCATCCAGTTTAAAGCAATATGAGCAGTTGCTGCTCTGATGAACCTGGCCCTTTTTTCTTTTGTGATTATTTCTAATCAAGTGGTTATCATGGTGTCATTTTAAATGTATGATTATCATGGTTTTAAAGGTTCACAGAAAAACATCACTACAAGAAGTTGGTAGCAGTGAGCTATATTGTAAATTGAAATATCCAGGATTCTTGTGGTAAAACTACAGAACCTTAAAGGAACAGTAGAAAAAGGAAATATTTGCAGTTTTTGAATTTCTACTCACTTGAAGTCATGATGATTGACTACAAGTATGCAGAGATAAAACTGCATTTCTGTACAGAATTGCAAATGCTAGTAAGGGGAGGTGGTTAAAGCTTCTGGATTTAAAAGAGATCAAGAGAGGCTATGGAAAGCACAGCTGCAGTACTGGAATTCTTTAATTTTGTCATATATTCAGTATGTTATATATTGGGTTAACTGTATTAAAAAGGAAGGAAAACAACACAAGTATATTTTTAAATCAGAGGTTTTAGTACCCAGCTCCTCTTACCTCACTCCCAAGGTTAATATCTCTCTAGTGGCTATCTTATATAAAGGATAATCTGCCTTGGCATTCTGCCATTTTCCAGCATGACTTGATTCACTCTCTGTGTAGTATTAACAGACATGCAGAATTTAAATCATTTAGTGCAATTTAGATAGCTTGGTTTCCTTAGTTTCCCAATCAATATTCCTGGACCATTGCTACTAAACTATCAATAATGATGCTCTGAATAGGTTCACTTATTGAATTGAATTGATTTGTCTTAAAACATCTTAGCAAATAGGTAACAATAGGCTACAAGGATCCCATAATATCAGTCTATGGTGTAACTAGAGAATGACTCAAAGGAAGTTGAAACATTTCTCTAGATTCTAGAGCTTCAAAGACATAATTGAGATAGGGATTATGTCTTTGTCATCAATGCTATCAGAGAATATACTCTGATGAACTCTCACTTGTGTTGATTAATTTTGACCTGAGTTTTTTCCCATTTGTATTCAGGCTACCATCCCATCTGTTTCTGTGCTCAATGCCCCAGTATATCAAGGAGCCAAACAAGCTCTGTTCAGGGGAGAGCTATTTGGGAGTGTTCAAGGCAATGGCACAAATCAGTCCTTTGCTGTTCAAAACATCTTGGCTATGACCAAACACCAGGCATGCCCAAATCCCTTAGGAATCCATCACCACTAGTCATTTTAATTGCTCCATCACCTTTATAGAGGGGTGACAACCCTATTGTCATGGCAACCATAGAGTCCTGAGCCATACACTTATCTGAGATGTGCCTTGGAATCATTTTTTTTCTGTACTGAAAACCATGAAAGGAAGCATTAAACTCCTACTACTCAAAAACCTAACATTAAGTGAAGACATTAAAGACGTATTTAGCTTGTTTTTCAGAATTTTGTATGGGAAAAACATTTTAAAACAAATCAATCTATATTCTGAACATTGCAAAAAACTTTTCAAACCAGTAGCTTTAGATTCTTTAAATTGCTAAATAATTAGTCTCTTAACAGTTTTGTTTGCAAGTTTGCAACTTTATTGGGGGAAATTTGGAAAATATATGGAGTAATTCAAAATAATGCAAATGTACTGAAAATTACCCTAATGAATTTATTGGGGCTCATCCCCAGTTAAGCATTATAGGATCAAAGTCTTAATGAAGTAACTATGTTATACTAATTGATTCTCTCATAATTAGCTGTTTGCTAGGGAAGACTAACCTCAGATTAATAGTTATACAATAGTGGAGTTTGCTTGATTAACCTTTCAGTCAATCTTAAAGCATGAGTAAATAATAAAGGCTCTTCTCACATTTTCATTTGAATGTTAGTGTTGTCAAAGAGACCACTTGCATCTAAGAAGATTCTTATTAAATTGCCTAAATTCCATTGTGTAAACATGTCTCTGAACACTTTTGTTGATCTCCTTCCTTAGAGGGGAGTATTTAGTCTATGAGAAGAACAATGAAGTGAAGGCTGAGAGACGAGAGTGGAAGAAATATGATTTCCATTATGACAATGTGCTATGGGCACTGCTTACTCTTTTCACTGTGTCTACGGGAGAAGGCTGGCCAGAGTAAGTTATTGAAGAAAATAAGGATGTTCTGGTATGATAGGTACCTTGGGCATCTAGCTGGTTATTATTAGATAAGAATGTTGGACTAAGCTAATCCTTGATCTGAATTACATAAATTATGTGGATGTAGTCCCTTCATCATTATGCTGCTTTTGTCTAGGCTTATCCAACAAGTTTACTCTTATCATATGAAAACACGACCTCAGGTAGATAAATTCTTTATAATGGCACAGAACATTAAAAATTCCCTATTCTTACAGTCATTGACCAACCAACATAAAACAACAAAGTACATGGGGCAGACAACAGAATAGTAAAATGACACATACTCTGACATTGGTTTAACTTTTTCAAAATTTTATAGACTATAAAAGAAAATTTTACAGTGTAGAGGGAAATGGATGTATTTTTGTTATATAATACATCATTCTGGTCTAACAAATCTGAGAATGTTGTTATTAAATGGGTTATGAGGAAAAAGTGGCTTTCCTTGTAAAATTAACAATATAAAGCAACATGGGCTGTGGTTTCAGTGGTTCCAGCACCTCAAAGTCAAAGGCTGGCCTCATAAGGAATTTTCTTAAGCTTCTTCTTTATGACTACCAAGGGGAGAGTGTTGATTTAGACTGCAGTTCTCATTATCTTCATCCTAACTATTATGCTGGGCCTTGAATATTGAATTCTAACACTTTGGGATAGTGAAGGGAAAAATCACAAATACAACTGAACTAGAAATACTATTTCCTTTTTGTAACCAATAGCTACCGTATTTTTCCTTCTGTAAGACAATACTTTTTTCTAAAATCATTACACTAAAAATTGAAGGGCGTCTTATGCAAGGAAGTAAGCCGAGGAGAGAACCGCACGGTTGCGAAACTGCCCATACTTCATCTCTGCAAACAGGCTTCCTCCTATCACTAGCCTCCAATCATGAGTGAAATAGTTTGTCTCTGCAAACAGACTAGGGCGTCTTATGCAAGGAAGTAAGCCGAGGAGAGAACCGCACGGTTGCGAAACTGCCCATACTTCATCTCTGCAAACAGGCTTCCTCCTATCACTAGCCTCCAATCATGAGTGAAATAGTTTGTCTCTGCAAACAGACTTCCTCCAATCACAAGCCTTATGTAACTGACATCAGCTGATGCT